TGACATATAACTGAGAACAGTCAGCAGTTTCCTCTTCCTCAATCTCACTTATATTGACAGAATCATCTTCGATATCAGCAAAATTGTGTTAAGAGTCAAATGTCGAATTCTCAGTCTTTTTCAAAATTTTGATTTGTTCAGCCTTAGTCAAGGTCTCAATCACAATATGTACCAAATCATTAGCATCTAAACATTCATCTATTTTAATAATTCCATATGCATAAGAATCATTTGGGACTTTATCAAATTCAGAGATCTTTTTCTCACAATTATAGGAAGTCGAATCTATTTTCTCCCTTTCAAATACCAGGAAGAGCAATGGTTTCCTATATTTTTCTTTACTAATATCATAGGAATGATGAAGTTCTGTTAGTTTAACATACAAACGTTTTGCACTATTGCAGTAAATATTATGCTGTTTCATTAACACACAATTGTCTGTTCTAACAACATCCCTATCTAGAGTAATGTTTTTCAGTTGCAATTTTAGATTATATACTCTACTCCTCTTTGTCTCCAAACGTTTCTGTGTTTCTAGCAACAAAGATTTTGATATTTCAGCTTTACTACTAATAAAACTAAGCATGTCATTAACATAAGATAAAGTATCATCAAAGTCAGATAAAACAATATTATAAGAACTGAAAGGAATATCAAAAGATTTGAGAAGAGAACGTACCTTCGAAGTCATTACAGATTTTTCTGTTCCAGTAGACACGAAGCTTTTCCAGTTACCTTCTCCTCATCAGTACTTCCTTTCTCAAACATTGCATACATTGCACCGTGTGTGAGATTCCTCGTCTCCTCGTCATCGAAACCAGATGACCAGATTTGATAGGTTGGTTCCCCATCACCATTTCCCTTTGCAACAAGTGACATTCCCTTCGTCCTAGCTCTTACTTCCTCCAACCTTTCGACATAGTAGGCCTCTTCCTTCACTCTTTCTTTCTTCTCCTCTCTTTTTCTCAACATGCAATCAACTGCCAGATGGTTCGTATCATTGTAGTAATTGCAATCAAAAACAGAATCTCCTTTTAGTTTCTTTTCTGCCTTCTCAACCACAATTTTGTTCTCCTTCTTCTCCACCTTCGACTCCTCTCTCATTTCTTTCCCTGATGATGAATTTCACTTAAAATCATTGTTTCCTTTGAACTTCGGATTAAATGGCTTCTTAAAAAACTTCTTCACTTTGTTGTTGGAATAATACGCCAGAGCTTCATCTTCCGAATTCATAAGAAAACCCTCATCATCAGAACCAACAATCTCAGCAGACTCGACCTCAGACTCTTTTCCAGACACCTTTGAAATCAACACAAGAGGGCCTCCCAGATTCATTCTCCCCTCTTCAACAATTTCGTTGATCTTAGTCTCATGAGCTTTAAAAACATTATCGAGATTTCCCAACGAGTAGTTATCGAAGCTTTGCTCGGTCTTGATCATCAAGCTAATGTTTATCCATTCCTTTCGAAGTCCCATTAAGAAAGTGAGATTGTACTCGAGAGTAGAACGTGAGACTCCATAACGATTTCATTTGAAGATCTACTCGTTTAGACGATCGTAATAAAGTTCGATTGTTTCACCGTACTTTTTCTTGAATTCACCCAATTCAAGTAGACACTGCTTAACATAACTTTTCCTCGTTTTCTTGCTTCCTTGATACTTCTCTTTCAAAACTGCCAAGAATTGATATCTTAATTATTTTAAGCATAAGTTATTAATAAATTTATTTATTTATTCGACTTTTCCGCTAATTAAAATATATGTGCAGGAAACGTGGCATTACATTAATAATCCTACATCATTTAAGGTAACACATCGGTCAAAACATCGCTTTTACATATTATGTCCCTAACTTCCAAATGTTGTAATTTCAACATTTATTCTTCTGATATATTTTATTAATCAAATATGATAGTATTTTGTTATTTAATTTGTTTAATCTGTCTATATTTTGTTATTTATCAATTATTTAATTAATTAAATAAAAAATTCTAGCCCTATATTTAGGATGTTACATCGTGAATAAGAGGGAGTGGTCAAGAGAGACCGTGTAATTTGGGAGATAACAGAAAAACTAGTTATGGCGTTTTACGGTTAAGTAGCTTCCACATTACAAAACGACTCAACTCAAATAGTAGTTTATGTATTGTTTTGGTTTTAGGTCTTTCTAGTTTATTTATAGAAGTAAAAAAAAATACATATAAATAAACAAATTGTTTTCGTTGAAAATTTCAATCTTAACCATACCCATTTAATTTTTACATCATCAACTCATTTAAGTAAAGGGACATTTTTATCTTTTCCACTTGAAATTAAAGTGTTTTTAACCTTTTTGCCCTTACTCTTAATTTAATATAGAAGAGAGAAATTAATTATATGTTACTGCCCCATCTCGTCCGAAACACCGTTACAGCCACCATCTACAATCCATGTTCTGAATGGGGCTCGTCAGCACCACCATCTGTACGACCATACCTCTCTTTCAACCAATCATTGTCTACATCCCACCACATGCCATCATACACTCTCTTCATCTCAGTCATCATTCACATCCAACCACCATCAACCCCTGATACACCATAAAGTCGGCGACAACCTCACCATCTTCTCTCAAAAACACTGTGATCACCATCACAAACATCTCAGCTACACACCATTGTCACACATCCTCCACATCTTCTTGATCAGACCCAGTTTGGTTCAACCTTCATCACATACATCAGCAATCATCACAACTCTTTAGGCCATTACCATCATCATCACCACTGATGTTCCCTGTTCATTGGCTTCACCCTACACCAACAATATCATGCCTGCAACATGGAACCAACAACCAAATAACCATCTACTACCCTCTTTTGATCATCATCATCATACATGTATGTTCATTTCATTGAAATGAATATGAATAGAATTACATTTTATATATTAACAGTTAATATAGTGATTATATAATCTGTTTTTATTCATCCAATTCAGCCCCTGGTGATTCAAAGCTAGCAAGGCTAACAGTAAAATTGTTGGTTATTTCACCAGTGTTATTTTAAATCTGAAAGTATTCAATTTTGCTGATTTGAAAAAGGCTACAAGAAACCTAAGTCAAGATTTAGGTATAAATGATTTTGGATTCAATCCATTTAAGCCATCGAGAAGTGTAGAGGAGATCAGGATAGAGACCTGCATGTACACACATATGAGCATCGATTAGGGGTGGGTCTCAGTTTTAATGAGCAGTATCTATTGATCGATTCAGAAGGGGGGGGGGGGGGGGGGGGGGGGGGGGGGGGGGGGGGTTAGATTCAAAAGGGTACCGACGACTTGGAAGAAGCAATCAACGACCAGCGAACATAACGACAATTCAAATACGCAGTGACGTACGACGAACGGCGAAGAAGTAGCGTCAATTATTGAATGGCATTTATGAATCAGTGTTTTATTTGGGAAGATGAATTAGCGTAAAAAAGAAACTGATATAGGGATCTTTCTCTCTCTTTTATCATATTTTTGTAAGTTCAAAAAAAGGCAAAAAGGTCATACCACTGTTGACTCATTCTTTCTCGGAAATACTCTTGACTCATTCTTTCTCTTCAATTCTTTTCTTTTCTCTTCGCTTCGCTCGTTAATTTCGACTGGAGAACATGGTGTAAGTAAATGAGTAGAAATATTTTACAAGACCCATTTAATTAGTGTCATGTATGTTTTTACCACCTTTAATAGATATTAATTGTAAGACTCATGTGTTACATGAGTTAATTTTAAATAAATAAATTAAATATAAAGTTCTAAATATTTGAGAATTTGAATTTATAAGAAAAAAATAATAATGAATTATTATAATGAAAATGATTTTCATATTCTAAATTTAAACAAATAAACTAAATAAATAAACAAAACAAACTAATGAACTTTAATTTTGACAATTTTGAAATTAAAAGGTAAGTTCATTAATGATATTAATATCAATTTATTACTATATTTATTGCAATTATTATATTAAAATATTATGTGAATTTTAAAAAAATAGAAAAACTTATAAAATGGCATGTGGAAAAAAATAATTGAAAATAACTACAAAATAACGTTTGGCAAATTGAATTAGAATGTGAAAAATGAAAAAAAAAATGTTTATTTATTAGAGTAGAAGAGAAAAGATTATTGCTTCATAAATAAAATCATGTTATTATTTTTGTAAAGAACTTTTAAACATTAATAGCTTGTAATAAATTCACCAAACATTTAATAAAGTTGTGGTCAACGAATAAATATTTCCAACTAAAATTCAAGCTTTTTCTTTATTATAAAATTTATGAATAAATATTTCCAACTAAAATTCAAGCTTTTTCTTTATTATAAAATTTAATGTCTACTATAAGGATTTTTGGTAGCCAAGCATTAATAAATGACTTTCTCAAATAAAAAATCAGGAGCTTAAGATTCTCAGTAAAACATATAATTTTTATTTACAGCAAATATATTAAAACATCTCGAAAGGGAAGAAGTAAACAACAGGAAAAGGAAAACACAAGAAAATAACAAAGAAAAGGACCTAGATTCCAAACTCTTCGGTGGTAAAATATATAACTAGTATTTAAAAATATGTTAGTTTACCGTTTAAAAAAAATGTACATGAATAAATTAGAAGTGGTCTAGTAGATATCGATTCCCTCTTCTTCACTTTTAACTTTTTATTTGATAAACTAAATTGTTTATATAATTTTGAGTAAAGTGATTGTATAACTTAATTAGTTTACTCCCTTCATGTTCAAATTAAAATGAATGTGAAATTTAAATAATAATAGAGTTGATGAAATATTTTTTGTAATCAAATAATATATTAAGGTTTAGAATTCAATGTACAGTTTATATTTAGAAAGAAGCATTAAATTACCATTAACTACATATCTTGATTTTTCATATAGAAAATCTGGATTTACTACTATAAATTTCGTGCAATGAGTTTTTGGATTACACAACACTAATCCGTCTCAAAACCAAGAGATATGACGGTTGCTTTGTTCAAAGTCGTTTTTTTTGCTACATTGGTGGTGCTGAGTACTTGCGGTTTATACTCTACTCCTTTCTCATGCTATTTGGAGTTTGACTATGTTCCTCGTATTTTTGCCAACTTATGAAGAACGCACAATAATTTATTTGTTTTGTGTTTTTGCAGTATTAGGAGTTCATGTTGAAAACCAGATTCAAAGCAAAACTTCCATCCCATTTGAAAGAGATACATGTGTTGGAGTTCCAGATTGTCATAACTTAGTCTGTCCACCGGGGATGATTCGATGGTGCTTGGCGGGAATTTGTCGATGCATTAAATGAAGAATAAGTTACAGTTCATAAGAATCATAATATAGAGTTATTTGTCTAAAATGATGTTTGAATCACCTTAAATGAGTTTCAAATAGGTGGAATTTTAGTTATATATCGTTTTCTCTAGTTTTGAAAAACAATTTGTCAAAAGAGCATCGTTTTCTATATTAAATATCAGCAGAATAATGTATTTTCCATGGTTTTGAAAAACAATTTGTTAAAAAGATAACAAGATTATTGATTATTATTGTGACAAGGAAACTAGAAAAAGAGATTAACATGAAAAGTTTGAACAGAATTCTGCTAAAGCTGCCAATGTATAACATTAAACATTATTTCTTTGATTGGCAGTGCTTTCATGAACAATAACAAAATGATTGAACAACATTTAAAGATTAACTGAACAATAAACTAAGAAAAAAGTTTTCATGCCAATATTGATGAAAAAAGTTAATAAGGTTTTTATTTTTATTTTTATTTTTTTTTTAATTTTTTATTTTAACGGCGGAAGTATATTAAAACGAGCTACCAAGATGCTAGAAAAGTTAAATAATACATATAGATAAAGGAGAGATACATTAATCGAACCAACATAGCGAATTTCATCTAGCTCTATTCTTAATCCAGTTAAAAGAAGAAAGTTGGATTTCATCCGCCGTTATCATTGGGCTGCACTTCCTTTTCTTGAAAATCCGATCATTTCTAGCTTTCCAAATAGACCACAACACTAAGTAAGAAAGAGCAGCAAGCACGTTACCATCACTACAAGAAAAATCATAAATAGTTACGGAAAGTTACTATGGAATCAAAATCCGTTGCTATTTTACTACGGAATATGCTACGAAACGACTTGTCGTAGCTATTTTGCAACATAAATGGTTACGGAATTGCGTTATGTAGCTAAATCTTAAATAGCTACGTAAAAATGTTACAGAATCTAAATTTATAGTTATTTTACTACGGAATATGTTACAAAATGGTTGGTTGTAACTAATTTGCTACGAAAATGGCTACGGAATTGCATTCCGTAGCTAAATCTTGAATAGTTGCTACGGAATTAAAATCCGTAGCTAGTTTACTACAAATAATGCTACAAATTTTTTGGTTGTAGCTAGTTCTCTATGAAACTTGTTACAAAATCCATGTATGTAGCTAGTTGGCTACATAATTGGCTACGAAATAAAAATACGTAGCTAGTTAGCTATGAAATTGGGATCCGTAGCTATTTTGCTAGGAAAATTTGCTACAAAATAAAATTTTGTAGCTAATCTATTATGAAACTTGTTACAAAAAGGTGAATTTGCAAAATAGCTACGAAATCAAAATCCATAGGTATTTGGCTATGTAAAATTTCGTAGTCAAGTAGGTACAAAATATGTTTCCGTAGCAAAATATATAAGATTATTGAAAAAAGATATTAAAAATACACAATTATCTTTGAAAACTCAACAACAAAAATAAAATATTATTTTTAATTGTTTTGAAAATTTAATTATAATATAATTTCTACATTATAAATATTCTGTAATTTTTAGATTTTGATGACATACATTTGCTAATTTTCGTATAATAATATTATCCCCATATTTTTTAGGCTTTGAAAATTATTACCCCTAAATCAAAATTTATTTACCCTCAGTCTTGTACCAGCTTTTTCTAAAAAAAAAAATTAATTTGTTTTATTTTGGTGTTTTAGTAAAAAAAGAAAAGAGAGAATCCTTTGATGAACTTGAGTCGTTTCAATATTTTATTAAGGGTAAATTAGTAAATTCACACAAATCTACTTCCTCCTAACCCCAAATTAGAGGTATCACCTTCAAACCCATCGTCGGACGCCGATCGCATCTCTCCCTCTCTCAACTACCATCTCCTCCGCATTCGCGGCCGTCTCTACAACTGAATCTCCATCAAGCTCTTAAATTCTCTATACATGGAAGATGAAGTAGTCATCGCTTCTTCATCCATCGAAGCCAGAATCGGTTGTTGGGGCCTTCGTTCCGGTGCAGAACATCTCCGCTACCGCTCATGCGCCTCTCCTCCTCACGGCCTTGTATCCGTCGTTGGACGCTTCCTTGCTTCCTCCCAGCTCCGTGATTCTTCATCATCCTCTGGCTCCGTTCTCTTCTGGTCGTGGAACAAGGTAATTATGGCATCACATTTCTCTAAATGTTCGAACACATTGTTCAATTAGGTTTTCAACATACAGGGGAATTGCAAGGGAAATATGATAGCTTAATTCTTAATTACTTCCTATTGTCTAGATTCTGATAGTAGTTCAATCCCCCAACATTCACTTATGTTCTGATACTTTTTCATTGAAAAGTATCAAATTTGTCACTTATGTTCTGGTTTTCGTTGTTGCGCCTCAGGTAGAAGTTAAGAGTTTTCCAGCTGAAGCAATCAATCCTCTTGCTTGCAATAGTGATGGCACTTACATAGTAGGAGGAGGAGTTTCTTGTCATATTTACTTGTGGGAGGTGAGTTGTCAATAGCTGAAACAATCAATCCTCTTTTAGCGATTTCTCTCCTTTTATCTAAATCACTCTAAATCACTCTTCAAGTAGAAGTTAAGAGTTTTCCAGCTGAAGCAATCAATCCTCTTGCTTGCAATAGTGATGGCACTTACATAGTAGGAGGAGGAGTTTCTTGTCATATTTACTTGTGGGAGGTGAGTTGTCAATAGCTGAAACAATCAATCCTCTTTTAGCGATTTCTCTCCTTTTATCTAAATCACTCTTCAAATTATATTGATAACTCTATTATTTTGATTTACTGTATACACTTTATTGTAAGAAACTGATCTTTTATCATAGATTGCAACAGGTAGATTATTGAAGAAATGGCATGGCCATTATAGGCCTGTTACTTGCTTGGTTTTTCTAATGATCAATCACTTTTGATTTCTAGATCCGAGGATGGAACTGTTCGAGTTTGGTCACTTCTGATGTATGTATAATTACTCATTTACCCTTTTACATTCATGAATTACAATTTTAGGGTTTATCACCAATAAACTCACAACACATACATTTTCTACCTATTGTGATCAGGATATTTTATGAGGAAGGACAACAGAGAGCAGGACATCTGTATGAGTACAGTTTCACTGGTCATGCATTACCTGTAACAGACATTGTTACAGGCTATGGAGGATCCAATGCAATTATCTTGTCTGCTTCTCTAGATCGTACTTGCAAGGTACATATTGCATAAATATTTGGAAAAGACGTGAATGCCCTCATGAATTTGTTTAAATTGCAGGTATGGAGCCTATCTAGAAGGACATTGTTGAGAAATATTGTGTTCCCTTCAATAATTGTTGCAGTTGCATTAGATCCAGGAGAACATGTTTTTTATGCTGGTGGGAGAGATGGCAAAATATACATTGCAGAACTCAATGCTCAAACCACATCCAACAATAACAACAACTATGGTTTGCATATCATTGGCACATTATCTGATCAAAGGTATGCGAAACCCAATGTTTTTAAATTAATAATCTAATTCCAATGTTTTTTATTGTATTTTTAATAGTAAGGCGATATGCTCTTTGGGTTTTGCATTGGATGGATTTCAATTGGCTGTTGGATCAGAGGATGGAATGGTTCGTGTTTGGGATACAGAAAAATGTGGATGTTCAAGCAAAGTTTGAACAACAGCTTGCACAAGCAATGAATGTCATTAACACATTGAGTGAACAGGTCAAAACTTTTATTAATCAATGATAGAATATTATGTATCGAATAATGTTTTATGTTAAATTTGTAGCGACTTTTGATTTTGAAATATGTATCTTTTGATGTATTGAATATTTCTTTTAGTTTCTATAGAAATACTTTGTTATTTTTGGTTTTATATTAATTGTATTTTTGTAAATTGATATAATAAGTCAAATTAAATAACCGAATTTTATAGAAAAAATGGTATGAAACGATTGTTATGGAATTGACTACAAAAAAGTTGTTACGAAATTTGCTACGGAATGAATCGCTACGGAATTTGTTACGAAACAAATGGATACGAAATTTGCTACGGAATTTGCTATGGACCAAATGGCTACGGAATTTGCTACAGAACAACTAGCTACGAAATTTGCTATGGACCAAATGGCTACAGAATTTGCTATGTACCAAATGGCTACGGAATTTGCTACGGAACAACTAGCTACGAAATTTGCTATGGACCAAATGGCTACGGAACAAAATAGATACGGAATTTGCTACAGAATTCATTATTACGGAATTGTGATGGAAGTGTGTTGTAGTTGAAATGCTACGGATAGACGTCGTAGCAACACCCATAGCAAAATTGCTACGGAACTATAATTTCGTAGTTAAACATTTTGCTACAAGAAATCTTACTATGGATTCTCATTGGCAAATTCCGTAGCAACTTCCGTAGTTATTTATGTTTAGCTACGGAATTACATCATTTTGCTACGGAATTTTTCCATAGTTAAATCGAAATTTTCTTCTGTGCATGCCTCTTGTATGCCCCTGTTGACTTAATATCCGAAATCATGGATGAGAAATTTTTAGGGCATATATTGTTTTTACCAGACCAAGCACCAAACCAATTCCAAATGACGGTGGCATAATCACATTTGAAGAAAACATGAACAATGTCTTCATCATCCTTTAGACAAAGCTGACATAAGCATGAGCCAAGATGTACTGTCCTCTCAACAACATTACAAGCAACAGGTACCCTGTTAAGCATTAATTTCCACATGAAGCAATTGACTTTCAAGGGAATCCAATTAATCCAAAGAACTAACTGAGAAATCCCCATTTTTGTTGCCTTTCCACTTCCAATAATCTTCCACGAAAGCTAAGGAAATCCTTCCATTTTCCTGTTCAAATCTGCAAGCGCAACCGACTCTCTACCACTTCTAATTCGTCTATTCAAGCTCCATGATTTACTAATAACCCCATCTGCATTGTTGCCTGACACCCTATCTATAACGACGTAACTTTCCAAAACAATTTTTCATTTTTTTAAATCGTACTTTTAATCATAAAACAATATCAAAACATAATGTATCCAATGTCATCATCACAAAACAATTCCCAGAATCTCATTATAATCTCTATGAGTGTGTACTGATCATGCCGACGCCTTCCCGCGATCCTCACTGGTACCTGAAACACATAACACACAACACGTTAAGCATAAATGCTTAGTGAGTTCCCCAAAATACCACATACAACACATACGCCACTCGAGGCTACAGTACGACCCTCCGGTCGATGTGTCTCAGCAAAACCCTCCAGTCCCGTAGCTCGTTGGACCCTTCGGACCGGTCTGTATCGTTGGACCCTTCGGTCCGATCTGTATCGTTGGACCCTTCGGTCCGGTCTATATCGTTGGACCCTCCGGTCCGGTCTATACAACACATACAACATATAACACAATGCACATAATCCTCATATAATACACATAGCAATAGACAGACCCTCCGGTCTACACATAAATACCGCTCTAGGTGGTATAGTGAGAAGACTCACCTCGGGTATCTCGGATGATCTCTCACACGAAATACTAATCCTAAGCCCCCCAAGCCCCCGCCTAATCACATACACAATATCCTCAAATAAATAATGGCTCTCAAAGGCTAGATTAAATCCCCTTCTACAATCCCTCAGAAGGGTAAAAGACCATTTTTACCCCTCCTTGATCCAAAAGCCCAAATGTTGACCAAAACCCTAAAAGTCAACGGTCAAACTTTGACCCGACTCATCGAGTGCACATGGGCGACTCGGCGAGTCCATGCGTGTCCTTTTCGCCCCTGGTCCTCACTCGACTCGCTGAGTCAACCCTACCCTCAACGGGTTATCACAGGTCGCGAATCGCAGGGCAACCCGACTCGACTCGTCGAGTCCCTTATGGACTCGGCGAGTTCCTCCCATGAAAATGCTCAAATGATCTTTTGAGGTCAGATCTGCTTTACCAACCAGTAGATCTATCCTTCTAACACTCGAAAGTCACGTAAAGGTTTCAAACTTTACGTTCATGACAATGCTATTAAGACCAAAAATGAGAGAAATAACCTTTAAAAATGGGGTTCTACTCTCAAGGCTCACATGAAACCTCATAAAGCTGGAAGCTTGGGACCTTTTGGACCTCTCAAGTCCAGATCTATCATCCATACCCAAAGGAACCTCATTCTGCTTCACAATCTAACTCAAATTGTGCAAAGGAAACCCTAGATTCAAGGAATCTATCAA